TGTTCCTTTGATAGGAACTCCACCCCAGCAGCTCTGGTCATGGTGGTGGAAACTCAGCTTCTGCCTACTTTCTGCTGGACCAGCTCCTTTACCTGCATGTTCTCTCTTCCAACACAGCAAGATAATTGGTAGTCATATTGATGATCCTGTGTCACCCAAGATTGATTATGTTCTGAACGCTGCGAGAAGGCATTACATTTTAGGGAAAAAAAAAATTAATCCAGTATGGTTGAGATTAAACCCATTTTATTACTTAGATGGGTAGTCCTTCAACTATTATGAAAGTCTTGATCATTCTCAATATCTTCTTACTCCTTGAGGTTTCTAAAAAGCAGAAATTACGTAGTATTATACTACAATGGCATAGTGAGGCAGAGAATTATAATTTAATGAGTTATAGAATGTATTATTTTTGAAGAGCATAACCAATTTTTTTAGTAGCTTGTACCAGCTTTCATATCAAAAAATGGTTCATTAAAGAAAGTCTTTTTTTTTTTTTTTTTAACATTTTGTTTACAAATTTGTCTTTTAGGTCAATGGCTGCAAATACCTAGGCAGAGATACTGCAATGTCATAAAACACTATAAAAGGGAGACAGTAGAGCAAGTGGTTGTTGAAATGTTTGTTTTGGAGAGAATTCTTGGCATTTTTGCCTCACGTCAGCATAATAAGAATTTGTAGGAGAGGAGAGAAGCTTTAATGTGTGTGTTGAGGATTAATGTCCCTGCAGAGCATTTGTGTTAGTGAATATGTTATGGATAGTACCATAAATATAGTAATTAAAAAGTTGCACACTAAACATTTTGTGGACTGGCATAAATATCCCTCTCCTCCCCCCTTGATGGCCTGCCTTCAAGTGACTAGTGCATTGTTCATCTTGGTTTCTTAGGATTCTTAATCAAACATAGGAAGAAGTATGGTAGTCTTGAAGATTTATTTCCTTCTTGGGGTATTGCTGATCAGATGGGCAGAAACAGATTTGATGTTTTCAGGACTGAGTTATTTTTTTACAGTACAGAAAAATGTCACCTAATACCTACTAAAAAAAAAAACAAAACAATCCAAAACAAAAAACAGTAAGAACCCACTCTTCTTCATTTTGGGAAATTTTATCATTAAAGTTATTTCCAGACAGTACCACAGTGCGCTGCTAGGTAATGTGTTAAATGTGTTCTGTAGGATCGGTGATACCTCAGAGCTTATGTGCTGTAGAAGACGTGAAATGATGAATAATATAAATATATATTAGGACGAAAACAGAGGCCTGTAACGAGCAAATTTTCTGAATTTTTGAGGAAGCGGGACTTGATTATCTCATTACTCTCTGTTGCCCCAGTGGGTTGAACCTGGGCAGGTTGCTGTGTGAATGAGCATCTGGGAGGAGAGGTGCCATGCTGTGAGAGTAATGACGTCCTGTCCTTCACACGGAAGGAGAACAAAGAAGGCAGACAGATGTAAAGTGGGCAATTCCTATTCCTTTGTATGCTCTGAATGTTCGCACCTACCTATTTTCCCATTTAGGAGGCATCCTGGTTTTCATAAATTCATTATTTCTGAATCCTCTTATTTAACACACAATATGTATTTATGAGTTCATAAAGCTCTTCCTCTGTGAGGAGGAAAGTAAATGCAGTTGAGTGTGATTTGCAGCTTGGCCTTGAGTCAGTTAGGTTGGGAAAGGAAGGAACAGACTTATTTCTATTCTCACCATTTAATTGGCCTCTTTACCTCTTAGTTGTGAGGACTCTTCACTTATGTATCAGTTTATTGATTGATTCCATATTTATTGACTGCTTGCTATGTCTCCTTTGTGCTGGGGATGCAAGGAGGGATGGCCCAGTTGGTAGGTAGGTTTCTGATGGCTTTGGAACCATCTCAATCCTGGCTGACTTCAACGACGGTGACACGTTTATCTAGAATTCTGAAATTCTGCCATCTCCCAAAGGAGATGTTCATGGTAACAGGATAGACAAGCGGTGGAGTAGCCTCATAGCTTTTGAGATCAGAGTCTGCCTGGAGAACACAAAATCTCCTTTCCAAGGTGTTTTCCATTGCATTAGACTTTCTAATGAACCTTGCTATTTTGTCATTATTGGAATGCTTTCCAAGAACAAAGTCACTTCACCCACTTTTGGATTTGCCAGAACCCAAGGTGGAAGAGGGGGCTAAGGGGGAACCTTAGGGGGACGGCAGTGCCGCTGTCTGAAGAGGCATGACGCTGGGCCACCTCGGGGGCAGGTGATGCTGCCGACCCCACTCCCACTCCCCTCTCCTGGCCTTTACCTTCAGCTGTCTGACTCCTCATTTTCATTAGGTTAGTCATGCTGGGAGGGGTCTTTGAATTGAAGCATCTTAAGAATTTAAGAAGCCTTGTGAGATGGTGGGAAGTGGTTTCACTTAAGGAAATATAACTCATATAAACCTTTGGAAAGGTTGGCACCACAAACCAGAGATCATTTTAAGAGCCTTCTTCTGAATGTTTTACTTATAAGATTTTTTTTTTTTTGATACTATTAAGTTCTACTGTGGGTGTGCTCTCACCTCACAAATATCCCTTACCCCCTGGATAGGCACTGGTGTATATGTTTATTTACCTTAAAACAGGGTTGGGCTATTTAAATTTTGGAGGGAAGCAGGTATATGAAACCAAGATTTTCAAGATCTAGGTTGTCAAACCATGTACACATCACCCCATGCTCAGTAAAGAGCCTTGCCAGTTATTTTATCTATAATGTTGTCGTTTTGCCTGTTGCCTCCAACATCCCAATGCTCTTACCTACAGACCAGCTCTAACTAGATTTGTCTCTATTCCTCTAATTCTGGTATTCTTCTAATATCAGAGGGTTGTGGATTTTCCTTCCTGCCTCCACTCTGCCCTCTTTGAATCCATCCAGACAGAGTACTGCATCTGGCTCCAGGCTCCTTTCCTTTCCCTAACCTAGATTTCCCTTCATTTGTACTCCTGACCCTTTCCCCCACCTCCATAGGGATCTAATTCCATCTTTCCCTCCTCCCTCTTGTCCTCTCAGCCTTTCTCTCTCTACTGATGCCTTCAGCTCATGGATATGGACTTCCGTGAGCACCTACGCCTTCCAGCAACCATCCGTTTTCCCTCCTCTTCTCTTCCGCTCGCTCTCTTGTCTTGGCTGCCACCACGTCACTGAAACTGCACTCAACCAGGGCGGCCAGTGACTGCTTATGTGGCAAATCCAAAGGCATATTTTTCATTTCTTTCTTTAGTCATCTCGTTGTATCCCATGGTACGTCTCTGCCTTTCTTCTTCGGTCTTTTTCCTTTGCCCGTTCTGTCATTGTTCCTGTTCTCGAGGGTCTGCTTTTCAGCCCTCATCCTGTCTCCTCACTCTACCCACATTCCTTCAGGGTTGTCACCCACTAACCTCATTTCTGCTCTCTCTGTGTAATGATCACGTAGATGCCTTTATGTTTTGCTCAACTTTCTTCCCCAAGCCTCACACTCAAGAATACGTGGGTGTCCCCACCCAAATGTTCTACACCTCAATTTCTAATGCCCCAAACGAAACCCCTTGTCTTCCTTAGGAAACTTGTTCATCCTTCTGTATTCTCTACACAGTCATCACTCCCACCACCTACGTGTAGTTAATCACCAAGTTATTCTGCTGTTAGTGTCTGGATGTTTCCCAAGTACTAATTCTTCTCTCCTCTCCTTCCTCCCTGCTTTCCTAATGCCCACCCTTCCTCTCATATCAAACAAGCACACTGGCTGAGCTGGCCTCCCTGCCTCCACTCTGCCCTCTTTGAATCCATCCAGAAAGAGTACTGCATCTGAAACCCAGATCTGACCCATCCGTGGCTGTCTACCACAAGAATAAAGTCAGAGTCCTTGAGCATGTGGACAGATTAGGGTCTGGTTCCAGGCTCCTTTCCTTTCCTTACCCTAGAGAGGCCAACACACTGAGTTACACCATGCAGTTTCTTACCTCTGCCTTTTCCGTTGTCTTGTCTCCCATTCCCAGCCTGGCTAAGTCCCACCCAGCCTGAGGACTTGTTAGGTGATCCATTTAGTCGGAAGCCTTCCCTACCTTCTCCATTTCTGGGCTAGGTGCCCCCACTTGACATAAGTCTGTCATCACACCCATCTCACTACTACTGGGGTGGGTTATGTGTATGTCTTGGCCCCACTGGACTTCACTTTCCTTAACGACGGAGACAGCATCTCATTCCTGTTTGTAGCTCCAGAGCCTGGCACAGTGCTTGGCATCTAGGAGGTATTCAGTGAATGTTTTTCAAATGAGAAATTCAGAACAACAGCAAATCAATGTGATGTCTACAAAAATGAGCAGGAGTAATCTATGCATAATCATTGCCTTTGGGAGGGGGCATGAAGGAGGCTTCTGGGGCACTGATAATGTTCCAGTTTTGATCTGGTGTGTTCAGTTTAGGAAAATTCATTGAGCTCTTCACTTATGGTATGTGTACTTTTCTATATTTATGTTATACTTCAATGGAAAGTTGTTTTTGTTTTTTTTAACCAATCCGATGTCTTATCTACCCAATACAGAAATTTTCTTTTTTTTTTCTTTCAAGCTTTTAGAGTTTTTACAGGGTATTAGTTCGGACATCACAACAAAGAACCAGGCTGGAGCTGTGCCTCGACTTTCGGGAGGAGTGAGATGAGCACCAACAAAATGTGGGTGGGATTGCCTGGTCTCCTAAAGAGGCCAGTGGGGGCCAACCCCGATGGATAGACTTTCAGTGACCTGTGCTTCTGTCACACTTATTACACAGGCCACATGCTAATCACCAGCAAGCTCTGTGCCTGCCTGCAGTGACATGGAGACTTCATCTCACATGTGACTATGAATAATTCATAAATGTGGTTATTTGGAAATTTGTGGTCATCATTAGCATTTTAATGAAAAAAAATGTAGTCATTATCCTAAATCTCTGTTTTGTTTCTACTTTTTTTTTTTTTTTTGGTCTCCCCCCACCCCGCCCCCCCGCCCCCATCCTCCACCCCAGCAAACCATCTCCATCTTTCCTGAGTACTTGGAAACTGCTGAGGCCCCTGCTAATGTGCTGACCAGTCACTATGGGCAGACGGTACCCGGAGGCTCCCTGTCACCCAGGCAGCTCATGTACGTATGGGATTGGATCTCCCTTTTCCCCTCTTTAACTTTCATTGTAGAATATTGCACAGTACTGAACTGGTGAAGGTTTGTAAGATTTAAATGAGAGGGTTTAGAAATGCAGGAGGATGGATTGCTCTAGGGGATGTGTTTAATACTGAATGATGAGAAATGCTATTGAAGTTAGGGTTTTTCTAATCCAGTGTCCGTAGAAGGCCAGAAGTGTATATAAGCAATCTCCTTTTTCTCTTTCAATGCATCTGTTCATAGACAGGGTTTGTATTTTTTTTTTTTTAAGCTTTCCTCTTTTGCATCACAATATATAACATTTGAAACAATAGCAATGCCATAAATTAAGATCATTTCCTACTGATTTACAATTCTTTTAAATAAAAGAATTCCTGGACTCAGAAGAGAGGTCCTCCTGGATACATCATTGTTGAATACACGTTAGGGAGAGAGTCCCTGACTCTTACTTGTCAGCATTCTCCGAAGGAGGAAATTCCTGATTCCCTCAGTGATAACTTTCGACGTCTCACAAAAGTTAAGTTTTTCCAATTATGGTCTTTTGGGAATGGCTACAGTTGTGGCCCTAATCTACCCGATTGACTTAGGAGAAAAAGTATTATTGCCCTTAATCATCTCTCCTATTTCTATAAAGGAGAGTTTGTCATAAACTTACTTTTTTTGTTCCATTTAGTCTTTTAGCTTTGGGCCAGCTGCTTAGATATTTATTTGCTTTTGTTGCTTCCTTTGGACCTCTGGAATTTTGGCTTCCAATCAGGGGTATGCTTAGGGTAACTCCCCAGAGTGCCTTTGCTCCCATATCCTTTTCATCGTTATGTTTATTCATGTTCACCTTTAAGCCTCATTTCCTTACACATCTCCATTTTTTTTTCTTCACAGAAAAGTTAGAACTGCCCTCAAACCCTCCCCCAGACAATTGCTTCTAAAATAAGCCAGGTGGTTAGAAGCAGCAGGGGAAGGGAGAGCTGACAACAGAGCGGAGATTCAGACCAACCACCAGTGATGCTGCCCGCACGAGTGGGATAAACAGCTTTTATGTGGATCCTTTAGGATCCTCCAATGGCATGACTCCATTACCCTAAAATTAGCAGTTTTGATAATGAACATCAGAAAAAATTTACCCTTGTATACCGTAAAACAGAGGTCAGCAAAATGGCCCCCGGGCCAAATCCAGCCCACGCCTGTTTTTGTAGAAGCTAACAATGGTTTTCATATTTTTAAGTGGTTATGTAAGTACCTACAGAATCTACTTTGCCTCTTGGCCCTCAGAGCTGAAAATATCTACGGTCTGTCCTGTTAAGAAAAAATTTGCCTCTTCCTGCTGTGGAGAAGTTGGAACCACGTACTATGATTGAAACATATGACACTGTTATTTTTTGACCAGTTTCCACCAGCAGAAATGCTAATTTTATGGGTTCAGTCTACTGCGTTTGGAAGAACATTCTTCTTTCAAAATGGTTAAAATGTTAAAGTTTGGGTTCTTAGGGTGCAGGAAGTACATTGACTTGGAAAATTCATGCCTGTGGACCTGCTCATTGTTCACCGTCTTCGTGAGTGATTCATCGAACCTCTTCGGAGTTTTCCAAGGGGCTCTGACCTTCAAAGTCTGGGCTGTCGAGTAGTGGAAAGGGTGCCTTTCTTCTTCATTTGACTTACTTCTCGTTAAGAGCTCTCTCGGAGGAAACTGTCCTAATTTACCCCTCCTGGGTGCCAGGAACACACTAGCCATTCCCAGAGGCCTCTGCTGCGCATGTCACTGGTGCTTTTTCTCCTGGTGGGAAGGAAGGGGAGTGGCTGCATTCTGCAGTGGGCGACACGACAGTCCCTTGGCCTTCAGGGTGTTTACATAACACCTTGCTTGAGACATCCTTCCCAGAAACTAGAACGTGGTTCTCACCCTTTTGTGCTTTTCCTCTCCTTTTTACAGTGTTGATCCCTTGGTTCAGTATGTTTAAACCATCATTTATTTTATGGGGTGTGTTTTCTGTTCTTCCCGTCGTCCCCATTGTACCTCCCTCCTCCTTATTATTAAATAAGATTTGCTGGTTGAAACCTCAAGCTGACATTCTTTAGTGGCCACTCTTAGTGGTAGGAAGCATTAACCTCAGCTGCTCTATCTCCTGTCACCTTAGGCAAGAAAGTTAAGATGACTTGGGGCCTCTCAGCCAGGACTAGGTCTGACCAGGACCACACTATTCCTGGAGAAGAGAAAATATTTCAGGGGAAAAAAATTCTCTAGCGTTTATAATTTTGTCCTTGAGTGTGGCCAGAACCATCGGTCAAGGATGGAGCACAGTGCTGTGCTCTGAATCATTTTTGAGGCTCACGTGGCAAATTGGAGTTTTTAGATTTTCTTTTTTTTTCTGTTTTGGGTTTATTATTTTCCCATTCAGGGCTCACTTCTTTCAGGACAGGATGCTCTTCCTTGGTGGAATGTGGAATGGCATCCACTGAACACCAAGAGAAGTTAGTAGCTAGAGTGGACCTCTCCAGTCTTTGCATACCGATATTTGTGCTTGTGTTAAGACTGGTGTTTTGAAATTATCCTGGGAATTGCTAAGAAGACTGCATCCTTGTTTGTTTGTGTTGCACCTAGCTATTCCTCTACATGGCTCCGGCTAAGCTGTCGGGGGCTGGACTGTGGCAGTAGCCTCCTGACCGCTGGCCTGCACTCTCTCGCCCTGCACAGCTGACTCATACGTTTAGCCAGATTCATCTAATGGAAGCATCGCTTCCATCCCTGTCCAGAATATTTGGTGCGTCCCCGCTGGTCCAGAAGGTCACCCTGACATTTGAGTCTTCCACATTGTCTTTTGCTGCCCCTTATTTTAGTGCCCATTACTCATGGTTAATAATAGTTGTTGTTGGTAGTATTACTGCTCGGTGGATATCTTACACCAGCCTAAGTGGGCTGCTCCTGCCAAGACCTAGTGTTGCCTTAGGGTCACCAGCTCCTGCTGGTCCCTCTCTGCGATGCGGATCCATCTTTTGAGCACCTGCTAGAACTCTCCTCTGGCTCAAGGGCACAGCAGCATTGTCCTCCTTCCCAGGAAGCTGCCGCGGTTTCCTACCTGGAAGCACATGCCCATGTAGCTCTTCAGTCTCCCTCCTGAAGCTTGTGTCCCAAATCGCTCTCTGTATTTTGCAGTATGTTGTATATACTTTGTCTGGACTTTGACACTAAACTCTTTTTCACTTCCCTCCTCTTCTGCACGTGTGAGGACAGGGCTTTATCTGTGGTAGTGCTCAGATATTTGTGGCATCACCTTAGGCTTGAGATGGGATCTGGTCATTTCTTCAGGAGGCCCCTGGAAGGCATTTTCCAGAGCTCTTGGCAGACCTGGCACGGGGGCGTAATCAGGGCCTCCAGGGCAGCCCGGGTGCTGTGCCCAGTGCTGCTCACCCACCCCGGCCCTCCGCCCACCTGCCTTTCCGTCTCTCAGAGGTGGGGGAAAAGGTTTCCTCTTTTTCTGTACTTAAGAAATTGCCATTTAAAAAGTTTAAGCAGGGGCACCCGGCTAAGCATCTGACTCTTGATCTCAGCTCAGGTCTTGATGTCAGGGTAGTGAGTTCAAGTCCCATGTCAGGCCTACTTAAAAAACTTAAAAACAATAAATAAAACATTAAAAGTTTGAATACTAATAGGCACATATGATTATTTCTTTTGACCCTCCCCCCTTGACTTCCTTGCTGTTACTGATGAAAGGCATTGGTTGTGTTCGAGGAGATACTACATGCCACAAGCTGTGTCCTAAAGTTACTAGAAGTATCTCAGTTTGAACTGGATAAATTTTTAAAGGTTCATTTCATTATCCCCATTTCACAGATAAGGAAAATGAGGCCTGAAACAGCAAAGTAACTTGTCAGAGCAGAGTTGCAATTTGAGCCTAGGTCTCCCTGCTCCCCTGCTCCCATCTGTATTCTTTCCTGCACTTGGGTTGTCAAGTGACCCACTGACCACTTATTTAGGTAGTGTCCCCTCACCTGTTCTCCCCACCTGAGCTTTTGGAAATACAGGTCTTAAAGACCTAAAGGATTCAGCGTCAAAGGATGCTGTCATCTGTCCCTAGCTCCTCTCTTATCCAGTTAAATTCAGTAACCATAAATAACACAGAGGCCCTAGGAGAGAGTACTTCATATAAAAAGAGTAATAGTAATAAGTACAGTAAGGGTAGTAACACTTTTGTTTGTTTATTTATTTGTAAAGATTTTATTTATTTATTTGACAGAGAGAGACACAGCAAGACAAGCGGGCGAGTGGGAGAGGGAGAAGCAGGCTTCCTGCCGAGCAGGGAGCCTGATGTGGGGCTCCATCCCAGGACCCCGGGGATCGTGACCTGAGCCGAAGGCAGACGCTTAATGACTGAGCCACCCAGGCGCCCCATAATAACACTTTTAAAATCATACGGGTATACATATGTAATATAGAAAATTTTAAAAAGAAAAGAAAAAATAAACTCTCACAGCCCTCTATACCAAGAGATTACCATTTTATGCATTATGTGGAATACCCTTCTGTACGTCAAGTATTCTCTCTCAATATATTTATTTTCTGTTTACTTGCAGGAATGGGGTAATGTTGCACATGGTGTTTACTCAACAAGGTATCATAAATATCTTTCTAGACTAGTACATTTCCTTTCCAGCTGTGGCCGGTGGTAGGTTGATCTATGTGGTGTTCCAGAGGGAGGCAGTAAAAACAGTTGAATGTGTTGAGGTTGCTTCACCTGGATATGAAGAACTTCTGCCATGGTCAAGCAAGTGCTGGTTGGGACCCATTAAATTGATTTTCAGGAGTGCCTGGGTGGCTCAGTCAGTTAAGCGTCTGCCTTTGGCTCAGGTCATGATCCCAGGGTCCTGGGATCGAGCCGCACATCGGACTCCCTGCTCAGTGGGGAGCCTGCTTCTCCCTCTCCCTCTGCTGCTCTCCATGCTTGTGCTCGCTCTCTCTGTCAAATAAATAAATCTTTAAAAAAATTGAT